ACGATACTACGTACGTACTATACTACTTACGTTGTTATACTATACTAACGGTAAGTAGTTATTACTACTTACTTCTACTTTATTATATATATATATATATATATATATATATATATATATATATATATATATATAAATTGATATTTAAAAGGGATACCTATCCAACAGATAAAAAGCTTCGGGCTAACAAAATAAAAAAATATACATAGAAGCTTACCTTTACGCCTACCATTTAGCTCAGGCAATCCATGGACTTGAAATCTTGTTTTGATTACATCCAAGGGGCAAACAAATGTCGCAGCAATAACTCCTAAAACAGATGACAACCAAAATGTCAAAAAGGAAAAAAATAATGGTATTCTCCAACAGCCAGACTTACCATTAAAAAGAACATCAAACTTCAAAGCACTGTGTACAAAGTCAATTTGGATTTCAAACTGCTTTTGCATAAAATCTTAAAGTAACTATATATATGGGATTGCATTTCTGAAGCATTTTCACTGAAAATCTGACAAGAAACATTTAAAATTCATAAATTATTTCTAGAACCTAGTTTTTGCCTTTTCTGTAATGAATATCACCAGCATCTATTGTTACCTAGAAATATAGGTTCTTAGATGGTTGAATTTAAATCAATGTGCCAAAACTCAGCCTGGGCTCGGGACCCGGACCCGGCCCAACCCGAGTAAACTTGCCCGAGTCATGTACAAGCACACGAAGTGCTCAAAAATTGCAAAAAAGGTACAAAAAAATTGTTAAAAAATAAAACAAAATTAGTAAAGAGCAATTGATTGTAAGTGTGCACCATTTATTATATGTATGATGAGGGGGAAAAAAAAAAAGTACACAGACAATGGAATATGAAAAAGATTGTTTTATAGCTTGAAATGATTCGAAAATCCAAAAAAGAAAAAATGGAAAAAAATAGAGCAAATAATAAGAATAAATCATAAATCATCATCAAAAACCTCAAATTTACATGCAGACATGTTTACACATAACTTATTAGTCATTCATTTCATTTTTAATGTTTTTTCGTTATGTATGCCCGTGCCTCCACAGCGTGCAGAGACCGAGTGACTTGCTTGAGTCTGAGTTGACTCGGCCAAGTTCTATAATCATTAATAATATCATCCATTTCATAAATTATTTAGCCTAAAGGTACTCAATTTTGACTAATTACAGATAAAATTACAGGACTGCAAATTCCCTTTAAGAAAAAAAAAGGTTCCCCATTAGAAAAGACAAAGCCTGGGACTTTAAGAAACCAAAACAAAAATGCAGGAAAAGAAAACAACACATCATACAGAAAAAATACAAACTACTATATCAATATAATGAGCACATAAAATACTTTCATATACAGTCTAACCCTAAATGGCATGATCAAAACAAAAATTTCAAGCCCTAGAAGAGCACAATCCAGAAATTCATTAATTTATTTAGCAATCAGCCAAAATAATTCCAAATTTCATTAACAACAAAGCCATCCAATGATTCATATGAAGAATCCATAAACAATTTCAGTGCAACAATCACAGAAACTTTAAAAAATGATTTAGGTTTTAAATTAGGGTTTCACCAACCTGCAGCTGCTCCAGCTCCAGCATTACAGAGAATGCCCCTGGTGCTAGGGCGCTGAGAATCCAGAACCATTCTGCAAAGTCCGAGACCTCAAACCAAAGATCAGAGCACAATTACACACAAAACCAAACAACTCCTCTCTATTGAGAGAGCCTTTCTCGATCCAGAGTTGCATGGCCAAGCCCTAACTGTGTAAATTTCCTCAGGCGAATCCCCGTCACAAATTCGTGAAAGAAACACCAGAAAAAAAGAGCAATCTATGGATCAAAACTACGAATACAAAGAAAAAACCCTAACTTTAGGGTAGGAATCAAGGCTTTGCCATGAAACCTCGATCGTGGTTGCAGAGACCGATGATGTGGGGAGTAAAAGGTCGTTTATAAATAGAATAGTCGTAAAAGAAGAAGACCAAAAAGGCGATAGAGTCCTCCGAAAAGATCACCAAGGCTTTAACCCCCCTCCGAATTTGGCCTTCGTTTGATTACGCGGAATTTCGTGTTCGTATCGACCGGCCTAAATTCACTGGTATTTCAGTCACTTTCGCCTTTCGTGGGTATGTCATAATCAAATGTAACGGCCAAAATTTACTCCTACTTAACTCAAGGTCCCCGATTTATTGTCTAGTTCTTTATTAATCAATGAGCTGGCACACCTGCGGGAGTATACTATATACTTGCGCTCCTGGGACTAAAGGGCTACGGGGAAGTTAAAAATAGGTCTGAACAATAGAGGGTGCACCTCAAAAAAACCTGCAAAACAGATTTTTCGTTTTTTTATTTTTTGGGTAATTGAGTGGGGATGACAGCCCTACCAGTTTTCTAAACTAACACTTCATAACTCTCTTAAATATATTTAGATTTAATTTAAGAGCAATGATCTTATAAAACCTTTCCACACTTATGTATGTAGAACCTTAAAGGATCACCATTAAATTTAGCACATATCATTAGAAAAATTATCACCCTTGACTTTTTTAAAGATCTGTACTAAAGTTAATGGTGATCATTTGGGGTGCTACACACATGGGTGTGGAAGGGTCTCATAAGATCATTACTCTTAATTTAAATATATAAAATGGAGAATCATATAAAATCTAAAATATAGAATAGAAATTCTTATATTATAAGAAATATTTTAATATTATATCTATGGAATAGAACAATTGGTTATCTTGATCTCGAGATGTATAGACTGTATAACTCTCCTAAATATGTTTAAATTTAATTTAAATATATAAAATAGAGAATCATATAAAATCTAAAATATAGAATAGAAATTCTTATTCTTATATTAAAAAAATGTTTTAATAATTCAATATTGATACCTATAAAATAAAAAAATTGACTATCTTGACCTCAAGATGTATAGATATGAAAAAAATATTGATTTCAAATATTGAAAATAGTGCATCTGGTAGCACATTATCTAGACCGTCTATTTTCAAAATTTTAAAGTATTTATAGATCTACTCGAATTGCATTTTTTGTAGAGTTTGAAGTTTCACGATTAGGGACAAAAATAATTTTTTAGACCATCACAAAGTTTTTCGACACCAAAACTATAGCCTTTAACATATTTTAGAAGCACACCTTACTTGGATTGTTTAATGTTAACGGTGTTTTACAAACCACACCCTTTGTTGTTTTAAATCTCGAAATTTAGCATCTACTCTGAAAGAAATCACAAATGAATACTTTTAGAACGAAAATTTATGAAAGTATATCTATGATGATTACTTTTAGAAGGAAAATTTATGAAAGTATATCTAAAAGATGAACTGTATAAAATTTTATCAAGTTCTTTTAATTTAACTTCAAAATACCCATCATAATACACATGCATGGTGTTGGTTAGAGGTATTTTGATAAGTTTCCTTTTTTAGAAAGAAATTGTGAATGTTGTGCATCTAAACACTTATATCTACCAGTTCCCAAATGGGATGGTCTCTTTTCAATTTTATTTTTAAATTTTTACTTTTAGGATGACTGCTAGATCTCTATTACTTTTTATTTTTTATTTTTAGGTTGACCGCTAGAGTAAGGAGATTAAATGTCGAAATTAAGATTAGGTTTTACTTGAGGGAGTGAATGGATACTATGCTCCTGAGGAAGCATATAACTTAGACATGTAATTTGTTTTCAATATATTATGTGAGGAGATACTATAAAAGTGTTAAAAGTATTTTTTAAAATATTGAAAGAAGGAAAAAGTATATTTAAGGTTGCGACTTTAAAATGTAGAATTAAAGATGCACCTCAAAAACCGATTGGAAAAGGTTGTTTTAATTTTGAAAAACCCTCTAATTGATCATTCGACCTGTGAGATGTATGAATATGACAAGAAAAAAGAAGTTTGAGTCCTAGAAAATAGTGCCAATACATTTTCTAAACAGTCCATTTACAGCATTTTCTACTTGATTTTAACTATTTTTGGATTTTAAAATTTTATAATTAGATATAAAAATAGATTTTCAAATAGTTCTAAAAAAAATTATACTAAAATTATATATTATAATAAAATTTGGAGGTGTGCCTTAATTGAATTGTTTAAAATTGCTTCTTTATGAAAACCACACTCTTGAAAGAATTGTCAATTTTTTATTGAACCCTATGGTGTATGATTGCTAGTGTTTACCAACCTGTCCTGAAAAAGAGTTCGAGCACACCTACATGTCACTTAATGAAGTGAAAGGAAATTTAGTAGCCATTTAGAGGTTTACCATTTTAACCACTGCATGAAATAATCCTAAAACTTTGAGAGGTACACTTCAACCTCTCCCTCTCTTTAATTTCATTTGAAATTGAGGGTGATTTCAAAAATTATTTTAGTATTTGTGGATTATGTAGTGCCATGGACTATGATAGCTGGAACTATGAATTTTGGTCGTTCAGCATAGTGGTAGATATATCAGTTTGGCCGAGAGAGGTAGATATATCAGATTGGTCAAGGATGTTCAGGATTCCACTCTCGAAGTTTGTCTAAAAAAAACGAAGCAAGCTAATCTAGCTATTTTTGGCAACATTGCATCTCAAGCTAGATCAATGTTATTTCTACCCAACTTACATTTAAGATACCCAACTTACATGTAAGATAACGTATGTGCAGTTTCAATAGGCAATAAGATGAAATAAAGTAGACTTAAGTGGGCTGATTATGTGCAGCACAGATCCAGTACAAGACCTAATAGGAAGTACAAGTTAGTTCAAGTGGAAGGCTAAAAAACAGAAGGAATAGGCCAAAAAAGACATGGTTGGGAAAAGTGAAAAAAAAAAAAAAGATTTACAACCTCACTGAGAGTATGACCCTCGATAGAGAAAAATAACGTATCAAATTCATGTAGCTGATTCCAAATAGTTGAAAAAAAACTATCATGATGATGATACAGGTTTTGCTAATGGTACTGGTGTATTGAGAAGAGTAAGTCGTATTCCTAGTTTATATGTGATAAATAAAAATGAGAGAGAGAGAGAGAGATTTTATTTTTAAAACCTTATATCTATTTTCCCTTCAAAAATGAATAATTCGGCAGCCTTTCAGGAGGAGCAGATCCGGAGCTTTTGTCGGACTCCACCTTTTTTTTCACAAATGATATTAATTTTTGGAGTGACTAAATCTGGAAAATATTTGAAATAATTTTTTATGAAGAAAAATCTACCTATGTTTTTAAGGGGCCTCGACCATGTGTAGAAGGTAGTACGGCCCACCACCTAATAGGCGCCAGTTTTTTTAATCAGGCCAAGATTTAATGACATTAGTCAATATCACTAAGCATGGCCTTCTTGTCCCATATCTGCTGTGAGTCCTTAATGCATCCGTTTTTATGTAATAGACCTTTTTCATAAAATATTGAAGAAATGAGTAATTTTATAATATTATATGCGATTTTCACCCATTTACATGAAGTTATTTCAAGCCAAAGACCTAAAAAATCCTAAATATGGAAGAAATACTTGTTTTCAGCCGTGCCTTTTTATTTCAGACTACTAGCACACCTGGTGATTCTTATGCGAACTTACGTGGATTTTGTAAATAATTTTAGAGGAACTTTATGTGGATTTTACCATGTTATATTTAATTATTTACAAAAGTTTTGGGGGATCGCCACAGTGATGCGGGTATCTTGTAGTACTATTGAAAGGAAAAATAGGGCGGTCTAACCGATAACCCCCCGATTGCATCAGAACTAGGCGGGTATCTTGTAGTACTATTGAAAGGAAAAATAGGGCGGTCTAACCGATAACCCCCCGATTGCATCAGAACTAGCCAGTTTTGGTTTCAGTCAGTTTTGGTGACGGGTCGGGTATTGTAATATAAAATTTTTTTAAAAAAGGGATTTTATTCATAATATATTTTTAATAATTGTCTTCATTACGGTAAAGATTGAAAATTGTTTTAGCTATTAATACTTATTTTTATATTTTTCCATCTTTTTTTTAAAAAAAAGTCAAAAATACCTTTGAAAACAAATCAATTCTTTAAAACCTATTTTTTTAATAAATTTTCAACCTCATTTGGATGTGTTTTATTTAATCATTCTTTAAATATAGTTTTCCTATTTTATTGGATTTTTTTATTTTTAACACTTTTTTGACCACTCGAGACTTACCCCGGTTATAACGGTTTAATCGAGTAGGTTTACCGGTTAGGCCGGTTGAACCGCATCTGGGCCCATATCGGGTTAACCGTTTCGATTCAAATTTTCCTACACTGGTTTGTACAAAGTAAATAAAATACATGTTAAATGTGAGACATGTTGTCAACAAGCTATCTTGTTTCACATGTGACGACTAGGGTGATTCTTGTGAAGAGTCTTAGGTTTTTCTGAAGAAACTCCCTGTATCTATTAATCATATGAATATACAGACTTGTCTTTTATAGACAAATTACACATGAAAAAATATAGACATGAATCACAGTTTCATATACTATTCCCGTACTTACCATAAATATATGATATTGTATCTACCCTTCTAAATATAAAAATTATGATATATACCTTCTATATTAACTAGGTACACAATATATACTTTCTTTTTACATTTCCCCTCAAACTCAAGATTCTATGAGAGAGAGCAACTGGAGTTTGAACACTAACCGCTGAAACGAGCAGTTGGATCTCCAGGTGTATAGCATGACCAATAGATGTAGTGATTGTCATCCCCAGATTACTTGATCAACCAGCACAGAAAGCAGCGGCGGACCAACAAACCTCATAAAACATGAAGCTCAAATAAAGCAAATACAACTAGCAACAGACCAACAAGCCTCAATAGCAAATGACCTTAGGAACTGACGACCATATTAGAGTAGGTTCGATCAATCATACAAAATTTGCATACCTTCACTAGAGATAGAAAAATAATGAGACAGTTGAGAAAATAGAATGACCTTTGGAAGAGCCAACAAAACTCGGTGCATATCCCAGATAGATTCAACAGCTCGC